ATTATTTTTTTAATATTTTCAGATTATTTTAATATTAAAAATAAATTTAAAAACATAAAAAAAGTATTATTTTAATATATATATATATATATTTGTATTATTTTAAATATATATTTTTAAAAAAAAACATAAACACTAGCGATTTGAAAAAAATACTCGATTTATGGACCCAACTTTTGCGATTCTGTGAATCACTGAATTTCATTCAAGGGGACAAGTCACCAAACGGGAGGTCCACTCTCTCTTTTGGCTTGGATTCTTTAAAATTTACGGATAACATCCCTTTCTTTCAATGGGCCCAAGTTGAAATGCCGAGCACGCTCCTCATGCGCGCGTAGGAGCATAATTAGATGGCTCATGTCATCAAAAGGCTGCAATCAGAGCTCATCTTTTATTTCACGGTAGATTAATTGACAATTAAATAAATGTAACCGCATTTAATCATCTGAAAATCTTTCTGAAAAAGGTTAAAAAGAAGAAGAAAAATCCTACGTCCAAGGGGGTGTTTGGTTTGGAAATATGATAATTGTTTTTAATAGAATTTATATAAAAAGTATATATATATATATATATATATTTTTTGTAAAGTATGATTGGTGCATTGAAAAAGTTATACTTTAAAAAAACCATCACACTTTTAAGCCAAACACGCCTTAAAGCAGGGTTTCTACAGGGCAGGGCTCTGACTGGGAAATAGGGAGCTCTTGGTTTCTGGATAATAAGAGCAAGGAGCTGTTATAGTAGCTGTTTTGAATAAAGAATTATGTTAGAATCATTTAATAGAAAACGCTAATTTTTTTATAAACTGTATAATACACCTTGAATGAAAATATGGATGATTAGTAAAGAAGGCTCTTAATTAAGAATTTTTTAAGGTCTAAGGGTTTGTTTGTTTTATATAAAATGTTTTATAGAAAAATATTTTCTAATTTTTTTATATTTATTTACGAAAAATATTTTTATATGTTTATTTATTGTATAGAAAAAATAGTAATTGAAAAATATTCTTGCTATCAACCTTCAAACTTAGTTTATTTATTAAAAAATATTTTCAACTTATAAAGTCTCGATAAAATATTTTATAAATGCTAATCTATTTATAATATTTTACTAGTTAAATAAGTCGATCTTGAAATTTTCTGATCTAACTCTTTATTTAACCTAAGTTTAAAATTAAATTATGTAAAAATTATATTGATATGATATAATCAATTTAATCAGTTCAAATATATCTTAAATAACCCATAAAAAAATCTTATAAAATATTTTATAAATAAAAATTTACTTATAATATCATCCAATTATTTTAACTTCTATATCTTTATCTTGACAACAACTTTCATAACCACATGGCTATCTCATCATTAGTTATACAATCACCTCATTACCATCTTATTATTATTATAACCATTATCTTATCATTGTTTTTTGAAAAATATTTTACATGTAAAATTTATATCATAACTTTTTTTAAGTCAAGTATTAAAAGGTATTTTAATATTAAATATTTTATATGTGAAAAATATTTTACCAAAACAAACTAATATTAAAAATAAAATTGAATATAAATTCTTTTTTAATGATAGGGTTAAGATGATCTATATCCCTGAATAATATTTTTATTTTTATTTTTATTTAAAAAAAACCCAAACTCCAACAACTAATAGGAACAAAAAGGTGCTCATCAACTTTGTGGTGGCCAAGTGGTAAGGATTTGGGATCAAGGGGTTTGCTTCTTCTGTGGTCTCAGGTTCGAGTTTTTAGTTGCTCATATGATAGCCACTGGAGGCTTACATGGTCGTTAACTTCAGGGCCCATGGGATTAGTCGTGGTGCACGCAAGCTGATCCGGACATCCACGTTAATCTTGAAAAAAAAAAGGTGCTCATCACAAAACAGGATCAAAAAATTTTGCACTGAAAAAAGATAACACAGGGTAGACAGTATCATCCTAAAAGACTTCACCAGCGATGCTTGGCGTCTACTAACTGATTGGTAAGATTCCACAGAGCACAGAGGGATGAGTTTAAACTGATAAGCAGCAGCATGGAATTGAATATGCTAACTTCAAAGAGACTCGATGCAAACTTGCCATGATAAAGAGGAAACATATTAAAATGGGAGTATGTTTCAGTTTCAATATGCTGAAAATTATAGTTTATATATAAATTAACTACTTTATAGGCACATGCTACATAGATCGGACCATTTATCTTGGACGTAACAAAAAAATAAAATTAATGTAAAAAATCCCACCGACTTCAACTTTTTATTTATTCCAAGTTTAAAATTAAATTATGTAAGAATTATTTTAAAAAAATAAATTGATTTGACCTATCTAAGATAACCTAACTAATAATTAAAAAAATCAAAGAATAAAATTAAACAAATAATAAAATTAATATTGCTCTTGCATAGTTAGTTAATTTGACTAACTAAAAACAAAACCTATTAAAAAAAGTATGAGAATAAATTGACAAAATTGAAATAGAAAAGGGGAGAGATTAAAAAAATAAAATAGGGGGTTGAATTGAAAAAACAAAACAAACTTTGAAGTGAAACTCCATAATAATTCTTAGTTATTTTAGGATAGAAATAAATGGATGGCTACAGATATAAAAACTCTTATAGAGTGCAGTGACGTAAAGATGACCCAATAGCTTATCGGTAGCGGTGGAGTGGTCGCTAATTCCATAAATATTTCATAAATTAACACACGGAAAGTGTCTCAAAATATTTCATTAATTAACTTCATCGTCAAAAGCTATATCAGCAATCAATATGCTTTTTGTTTCAGTGATTGGAGGAAGACGGTTCTCCCTAGCATAGCGAACCCGTTTAATTAATTGGGTTGATTGGTTATAGACAGTTAGTAAGAATAAGCAAAGGGCATGGTTTTTTTTTTTTTAACATTAGTATAATATAAAAAGAGAGTAAAACATCTAGGTCCAAAAATAAATTAAAAAAATAATATAGTGTTGTTAGTGTGCGTGTAATCAATGATTTGGTTATAATCGAATTTATTTATTTTTATTTTTCATGTAAATATAATTAATTTTTAATAAAAACTTGTGTATATTTAATATTTACTGAATATTTAATTAATGAATATATAACATCTAAAAATTACTCAAGTAAATGATTAAGCATAGAGTACTTATTTGTAGGCCTGCATCACTCTAACTTGTTCAACTTAAGGACAAATTTGTAGTGCCAGGATTGATATAAAAATCATTTATTTTATTAATAACATAATTTATTAATTATAATAAAATTCTAATAATAACATAATTGATGAAAACCTAAATTTATCAATTTTCACCATGAACAATTATTATATTTTATATCTAATTCAACAAAATCCTTGAATTAACTTAAAAAAAACCTTAACCCTTGCCTTAATTTACAATTGACAACAATCCAAAACCATTATTTTTCTTTAAAAATAATAAAATTAACAACTCAAATCAATATATTTTATGACTAATTAACCTAATTCGTAAAAAAACCTATATGTGGTTTGTTGAGGTAGAGAGAAAGAGGGGGTGGTCTTGCAGTGGGGAGAGAGGGGTGAGGCTATGTTCAAAAGTAGACATTATAAATAGTGAAAATCAAACCACTCCAAATGCAAACTATGGGTTAACACGACATGATTCATTTTCAAGAGCTGAACCATAGTCAGAGGGAGGAAAGATTTTGGCAGAATTTAGCTCTCCATTCCCGGAAGAAATTAAGTTATCTCCAGTACATATGAGAAAATGTAATTGTCCATACCAAACAAGACTTCTTTGATTGCATCTACCAGAGCAGCTCTTACCAAGGCAAAACATTAAGTTAAATTGAATAAATTAAAAAAAAACTGAAGGAGAAATTAATGTTCCTCTGGATACAAATTACTATTTATTGGATACAAAATCATGATTGGACCAAAAAACGGTTGAACTAGGCATTGGGTGCAAGATAGTTTTTTCACCTTGATAAAATTATTTTTTATAAATTATATGGGGTTATATAGGTAATTTTATTTTTTATAGTAAAATTACTCATATAACCCTAAAATAAAATAATCTAATGCTTATTACTCAAGGACTTTTTTGTATTTTTAATTTTTTTATAATAATGTAATTATTTTAATGCTTTTAAAGATAAAACCAACAAAACTCTTATCCAAGGGTTATTTTTGTCATTTTATAGTGTTATTGTAAATTCTAAGGATATTCAAGGGTATTGTTTTAAATTATATTATTAAATATAATTAAAAAAATCTTATTGACAAATATATGAGATATACCAATACGTGAATGATCCCTACATCGTTTAAGCAGCGCGTGTTGAGCTATTTAACTATTACACACCGCATTAAATAAAAAAACATTTGAATGGTCTTGAATCCTTGTTATTTTATCAGCTTTTTATATATTCAAGATAGGTTCATGGTGGCTGTTTTTTTTTATTTTTTTCTATGTTGTTATTTTTTTATTTATATTATTTTAATTATCAATCGGTTCAATGACTTCCATCTCAAATTTTTTCAAAATATTTTTTTATGTAAAAAAAAAATAATGTGCAGTATTTTTTTTTCTTTTGACTTTCTGTAAACGTGTATGTACAGTCAAAGGTAGGATAAACAGGTTAGTGGATTGAGGAAAGATAGAAATGTTGTTGAAAAGATTTAGGGGGAGGAGAGCCAGCGTTGAGGATGAATTTCTTGGGTATCCAGTCATTTAGGATTATTTTGGTTATTTGATACGTTATTAATAAGATTTAACTTATTTATCATAGAAATACATTTGTGAATGGATTTATTCCCTTTTTACTACTTGCAAATCAGATCTTGAGTTGTAGCTGGCTGCAGAAAAGTTTGAATCTATTAGCAGACTGGAAAATGAAAGGAAACTGGAAAACTAGTGCCGGCTGCTCATGGCAATCTGAATAAACGACGCGGGAAAACCAGGCATCCAGTTTCCAAGCTAGACGCGGTTTGCATACAAATGGAGATCATGAGTGAAATGTTTGTGTAATTCTTCGGAAGGTGGTGATAAATATTGCGAACATATCAATATACAATATTCGCAAAGTTTTACAAGAAAAAAAAAAAAAAAAACCATTCGAACAAGGCTCTCCCAGAATGATAGTTCAAGATCGCAAGAAATTTATTTAAGATTTTTAAATATGCAGCAAAAATGCAGACCCCAACCTACGGCATTTTGATAAAGTCGCAAGTAGTGTTCCTCCTATGATCTTGCAAGCACTGAATCTTATTAAGCAATATTGCGTCATCTTGGCAATGCTCAATGGAAAACTATTAATCCTTCCTGACCCCCTGCACTGTTACTCTCAAGTCACTTGTTCGTCTTGAAAAGCAACTGCTTCGGCTTGCTTCTCTTTACATTACCATTTCTGGTGTGGGGTTGATTTCCACAATACTAGGCAGCTATTTGTTTATTCTTCTGTTATAACTGAAAAACTCCCCTGTGATTTAGAAGAAATAAGATGACAAAAATCTGAGGTTGATTGTTCCTTGAAATCCTTACGAATGCTCCAAAGATTCTCTGCGCATTTCCTCATGCTTGGCCTGCTCTGTCTGCCAGGAGCCAAACATTGCAATGCTAGTTCCAGAATCTTTTCTAGGGCCAAGTTACTTGCAGCAGTTCGCTCTAGCTTCGGGTCCAAGATTACAATGGCATTACCTTCTGCAAACTTCTTTATTGCCTGCATGTAAACCAACTGAAATCAGAACAGAGAGAAACCTTCCTTTGCTGTTACTCCAGGTAAATGTGATCGCTTTAATCTCTTGGACAAACGTATTAATTGCTTCGACATCTTGGTAGACAGGTTCCAATAATATTGAGATTAGATAGAAGCGCTGGGATTGCTTTATTGGTCCGGTGCGGGACTTCCATCAGATATTGCAAGCGTTGGATAACAATTGAGCTGTGGTTTTATAGATGTTACAGAACATTATTAATAATTTAGCAATACTAGTATTGAGTGGAGAAACAGAGGGAAAGAGGATGGTACCCATTTTGCAGTTAAACGTTCCTTTATTTCCCTTTTCGTTTCAATAGGACGCCTACCTGTCATTAGTTCAACCAGCAACACACCAAATGAATAAACATCGCTCTTCTCAGTTAATTGATACGTCCTCATGTATTCAGGGTCCAAGTATCCAGCAGTTCCTTTAACTTGGGTAGACACATGGGTGGCATCTGAATCCCTGTCAGCTGCCAGTCTAGAAAAACCAAAATCAGCTACCTTAGCTCGAAAGTTTTCTGTGAGGAGAATGTTGGAGGACTTTATGTCCCTGTGAATAATTGGGTGATCTACATGGAAAGCAACAATGATCCAATAAGATATCTCTGACAACGTTGCTGTAAGTGGCAGAGAAATAGCAGAAGCTCTAACTTTGAAACAGGTAAAATTAGGTTGGCTGCCATTAAAGAAAACCTGTGTACATGTGAAGGTAGGTGACTGCATGAGCCACATCAATTGCAATATCTAAGCGCACAGAAAGGTCAATAACATTTCCATGCATGCCTGCATCAATGCCATTCTTGAATCAACAAAATTTCCCACATTTGCAAACATATATACATCTCCATCGGCCACATCCAACACACACACACACACACACTTAAAATGCATGCACCCAAGCCTAAGAAGGTTGCTAAGAACTCACAATCCAAGTGTTCTCTGAGAGTTCCATTGGGAACATACTCCATAAGAACAATTCTTTCATCTTCATGTTCCAAATATCCATAGAACTTTACTAGATGTAAATGTTCCACCTGTGCCAGTGTTCGAATCTCACTTTGAAATTCTTCATCTAAATGCTTGTCATTTACACTCTGCAGGCACAGATAACCAAGCAATCTGTGAAACCTCAGAACACTCAGCGAAAAAGAAAAATAAATTGCAACTTTCACCAACCTTCTTGGCACGTTTGATGGCAACAGCGGTTCCATCTTGGAGTCTCCCCTTGTAAACAGTCCCAAAATCACCTTGTCCAATCTTGAATGTGGGGGAGAAGTTCCTTGTGGCTGTATATATTTCCTCCATGGTAAAATTTACACTCCGAGGTTCTCTCTCACGGACTGAATTGAACGTACTGCTATAATTGCCTCGATTTGAACCTTGCCTTCTTTCACTGCTCCCAGAAGTATTGGATACAACTGGCAGCAACAAATATGAGCGGTTCATTAACACTATAAATTCATTTCGTATAGGAAGGCAAAAAAGAAAACCTTATCAAATACTGCAAGTATGCGTCAATGTCCTGAAACTAAGCATTTTGTTATATTTTCTTTAGTAAAAAACCTTAAGAATCAGATATGCAAGTCTCCCTTCTTTTTTTTGTTAGATTAATGACACAGTTTTCAACTGGGCCAATAACCTGAACCCTAGCTTCTGATGCTTTGGAATAATACCAAATCTGCTTATGTATTTTGTTTTTACCATAGCAATAAATTGACGTTTTAATCAAACTTTAGCGTGTATAAACAAGCAAAACACACACACACACACGCAAGCATCTGATCACTTGCCCCCAACAGAATATTTAAGTTGTGATTTGTTTGCAAAGATAATATTAGCATCTGATCACTTGCTCCCAACAGAATATTGAAGTTGTGATTTGTTTGCAAAGATAATATTTTAAAATAATAATAATAATAATATCAATTTCTATATTATTATCACACTTTACAGTCCACAAAATTCAAAAATAAAAAATCCCCAAAAGACTTTTATATACATCTTATGAATCAAGAACTACAACTCTCAAGTTTCCAACCTTTTCTCTTAGCAAAAACTCACTACAAGACAGTAATAAGGTAAAGAAAAAAGCAAGAAATTTACCAGATGGAGCTTTTAACTCTTCAGAGGAACCAAAGGCCTTCGAATCGTTCGGCTCAGGCTCGGGGGGCATTAAACAAGCACCAAACACTCCGGCCACCGATTTCGCTACCGCAAACAACGGGTCCCGCTTCTTCACGGCGGAGCTGCCCGAGTAGGAGGAGGATGTAGGGGAGTAAGGAATACGGTCCGACGTCGACCGTACGCCAGAGGCTGGGGTCCGGCGAACGTAGGGAGAACATGGGCTTTTCATTGTTTAGAGAGCAAGAGCGCGGTGGAAATGGCCGGTAGTAGTTGTGTTAATAAAAAAAAAGAGAGGGAAGACTTCGGTTTTTCAAAGGTAGGTGTGGCTACGTGAGCCGTTGAAGTTATGAATGGCAATAGCACCAGTTACATTTAAGATTAGTAGCAGTGATTATGTATTAAGGCCAGAAAGCTACCTCTTTTTTCCTCTCATGGAAACCCTCTTCTTTTCTTTTTCAATACGTTATTCTTAGACTCGGCGATTCAGATAAAAAACTCGGTAAAGAAAGAAGCAGAGAGGAGGGCAGGAATAATCAGCGTGGAAAGATTCAACTCAGCTTGAGGAATTGCCAATTTCACACCATGATATTCCACCAAAAGAAAAAAACGCATGGTGTTTGTCTATTGGCGTTATCAACACTCCAAAAAATAGAAAAAGATGTCAAATCAAGTAAACGTTGGTAGCCGGAAGTACTGTCTGCTTGAACCACAAAAATCCCAGAAGGCAAATGTTGTTATCGAATCGCTTGGTGGTGGTGTCTCGAGTCGAAGTCTGTATTTAGATGGGTGGCGACGTGGCGTGGTGTTTTTTTTTTTTTTTTTTCTAATAAAAAATATATTTTTTAACTCTTTAGAAGATGTGATGTGCGTTTTAAAAGGGTTATGTATTTTAAAAAAATAAAATCAGTACACCTCCTATCCAAACATATTTTTTAGAAATTGATGACCGTAACATAATAACATTGGTACAAAGTGAATTCAAATAAAATAATTATATAAAAATTAAAAAACTTAAATTTTGTGATTTAACTTCAAATAACTAATTTATTTATTTATTTTTTATCTTTTAATAGTAGATTGATTAAGAATTAATTTTTATAATTAATTTTAATTTAGTTTTTATAAAGTTATTATTATCTTTTAATAGTACTTTTTTTCCTTCTCATTTCTCTGGGTTTTTTAATTTATTTTATTTTTAATTTGTTTTTAACACTTAGTTGGATGAGAATTGAGTTTCATAATTTTTTTTATGAAATTATCATGGTCTTATAACCCAAGTCATAAATTTACTAGGTTAAACTAGATTGAATCGAGTTGTTTTTTTCTTTTACTATTTCTTCCTTCAACAATAAGTTAGCTTTAGAGCTGAGTTTTATAATTTTTATTTATTTATTTTCTATGAGATAATCTTGTTCTTATAATTTGGGTCGCGAGTTTAGTTTATTGGAAATTGAACTTCATGTTTTTTTTCTATTTTTTTATTTATTAACTTATCTTAGTCTAATGAATTGACTTGTGGGTTTGCAATGTTAACTTGAGATGACTCAAATTATTTATTTTAATTGTTTATTTTTTGATTTTATCCTTTAACAATAGATTGGTTTAGAGAGAAGCCTTATTTTTTTTTTGAGTAATCATGTTCTTATGACTTACGTCACAAGCTTAGTTGATTGAAAATTAAAATTTATGATTTTTTTTATTTGCTTTCCATTAAGTTATCATGATTTCATGATTTTTTTTTTTTAAGGCCATGCATTTTGGTCTATGTATCCTGACTCTAAACAAAGCAACTACCTTTATGATATGCATTTCATTTTATCACCAATTGACCTACAAAGTTGAGACAATCATGTTTGAATCGTTTTAAGCTTAGTTAATGTCCCATGTGACAAGATTATTATTTTTTAAAATAAAACACTACTACTCATTAGAAGCTATCAACTCAAATGATTTGCATATGCCTATATGTAACTATTTTTTTCTTATCACGATGAAAGTAGATATGATTGATAGATATAAATATTCATCCATAAAAGATAACTATAAACATTTTTCTTACATTTTTAGTCTTGTTTTTCTTCATAACTTTCTGTAAAAATACCTATAAAAGCTCAATATAAAATGTAGTCTTTAAGGTTTCATTTCCCTCGTAATCTTACTATTATAAGTATTAAAAAGGCCCTAGACAACACAAGAGACTTGTTCTACAAGTGTTCATGAGCCTTTAGTAGTATCATTTTTCTTCAATCATACAACCTGATTTTTTTTATTGACAGGCTTAGATCTATAAGGTTTACTACAACATGTCAATAACTAGAAAATATCACATATTATTGCACCAAATCGTCACATAATATTTCATCAAAAGCATGTCTCACTTTTCATTGATTGGTCTATATTTTCCATACAAATCAACTAGAGTTCTGATAAAACAATTGAACTCAAAACCCAATTTCACTATAAAACAAAGCAATTCTTTACCAATCTTAACATCATTTAACTCAAGAAATGTGAAGCAAGTTGTTAATTGTTATCACATCATAATCTATCTTATCAAACAACAATTTTTTATAAAATAAAAAAGACTATATGGATACTTAATTCATCATCATTACACTTGTAATCAATAAGCTAGTAAATAAAGTATTCTACGTTATTTCTCCCAATCATTTCATGAAATAATTTATGTGTATCATTAATCTCCTTGCATTTCATATAAATATTCAAGATGATTTTGGAAATATGATACATTATAAAATCTCAAATTTATAATATGTGAATACAATCATTTTACTTTGTGAATGAATTTTAGGACTTTGGAGTAGATATAATAAGTTGAGTGAGAATCAGTTAAGTGGGTTGACTTGTGAATGGTTATTAACGATTTGAGTTAATAAAAAAAAACAAAAATGAGTTACTATCTTTTATAACATATTTGGCTTATAAGAGAATGGAATGGTGGGATCAATAATTGACATTCAAAAATAGATAGTGGGAATGAAAAAACTTTTAACATATTTTTTTACAAATTATTAATAATATATTTTAATTAAAATCTAAAAAATTAAATTTTAAAAAATAAAAAATCTAAAAAATTACAAATAGAGGCTAAATGTCCAGGATTAAGAGTTTGAGTCTATGTACACTAGCCCAATGGAAAGAAAGACAACCTTTCTTGCATGAGCTTTTTTTTTAATTTAAAGGTAAATGACATGTTCATATTGATAATATAATGCATCGTCTACAAGTTTAGATTCCAGTCATCACCAATAGATGGGAAGTTCTCAATCCAAGTTTTGGAACCCATAAAACTATTTTCAACCCTTTCACCTAAAAATACATAATAGACATTCTAAAAATTATATTAAATCTGCATCTAACATCAAAATATTATTCAATCAAATAAAAAAAATATTTCAAACTTCAATTTACTTTTACTAGCAAGATAAAAACTCTAAAACATCTTAATGATACTCTTCTTAACAAGATAACCTATTAATACCAAAATTATCCTTTTGTTATTCTTCAAATAGGACAAACCAACCTCTCTCTTACCCTTTCTTTTTCAATGACTTTCTTTATCTTTTGTCAAACACAAAGATTAAAATATTAAACAAATAAAGTTTAATGTCAAACACACATTATAAAAATATAAAGGATCAAACATTTACAAGTTCAATCTTTATGGATCAAAATGATTTATAGTATTATTTTTTATACTATAAATTTAAGTTAGATTCCATTAAATTGATCTCTAATTATATTTTGATTTTTTTTATCAAACATTATGAACTCATAAGAATATACAAAGAAAAGAAAATCTGAACAAAAAAAAAATCAACATAAAATATAATGATAAAATTAAATAAAAAAATATTATTCACCAAATAGTCCCATCCATGATGCAAATGTATAGTAGTATATAATACAAAAATAATATTTATTGTATAACAAGTTTGAGTTGCAATCAAGATGTTGTGAGAATATGACTTTTGGATCAATAAATCACAACCTTTATATAATCACTAGATAGGTGAAAAACAAAAATTTTAAAAGCGCTAATGAGGGAGATGAATTAGGAGCTTAATTTAAGATTTAATATCTTAATTTTTTTTATTCTTTAACTCCTTAAAATGCCAAAACTAAGGTTAAATATTCTTTTTGTGTATGCTACATTTTTTTTGATATATATCATATACTTGAAATAACCAATCATATACATGTATAATTATTCAATGTATAAATGCATAAAGTAAAAGAGACAGAGAGTGAGAGAGACACATCAAATTTATAATGGTTTGATTAATCTTACCTACTCTAGTAATTGAGTCATCGTTTAATTATTCACTAATCACTCATGATCTACTTATGAGTGAGACCTTATTAATACACTAATTTTTTCATAAGTTTAAGATTAAAAAATTCTTAACTTGTGATTTTTTTAAGATTTAAAATCTTAACATTTCAATAACTCACAACTAAAATTTTTTTAAGTGGTTTTTTTATTGCTTACACTTTTATAATGGATAATATCTCACAAATATTTATCACACCTCATACTAATAAGAAGATTACAATAAATTAAAATCAAATTTTTATAAAAAGTAATTAATAATACACGCGCTAATCTGCACTACATGTTTACTCTAACCCATTATACGCCAACTAATTTGCACTACATGTTTACTCTAACCCATTATATTTGTTTTGTAAATCCGGGGGGTTTTAAAAGAAACATTTAACCCAGAAATCCGGTTTTAAAAGAAACATTTAACCCAGAAATAATATAGGTCAATTTGAAATATAAATGAATTTTTTTTAATTAATTAGAAATAAAACTTTAGGGAGAAAAATGTTTATGTTCAATAATTGACAAGTAAATTGAGACCGAGTATCAAGTTAAATGAAAAATACTGAACTAGACATAAGAGCATCGTGGTAAATAAGAAAATCATAACCTATAAATATATGTTCTTTTCTTCTCCTTATAATCAACAACAAGAATAAAGAGAGAGGGGGTGTCAAGGGTTCTGATTTTCTTTATTTAAATCCTTAAGAAAAACACGAAAAATAAGTTAAATTAAAGTGGTTAAGAGAGTTTTTGATGGATTAAGAGGAGGGATTCAAGCTTTTCTACAGTTTTTGTGCTTGGAAAAAGAAAGTTGAAATTATAAAGAAAAAGAGAAAACAAAAGGAGGTTAAGAAAAATGGTTTTTCCTTGCAAATTTCTTATTGAATTCTTGTTAGTAAGAGGCGAGAACTACTCCTGCATTGATTAATTATGATTCTCGTGTGTTTTAGAACTCGGCATGTTGTGATTTAATTATGGAAAATTGAGTTGAATGTATTAGGTTGTTTTAATTGATGATTTTGCTTTACAAATCAGCTCTTAGGTGTAAAAAAGATCGGGTCAAGTGGAATTAACACAAAATTGAAGAAAAACTCATGCCTCCTTTGTATACAAAGGAAGTTTCAAGTTTAGTGAATTAATCAACGCTTATTTATTTATTTTATTTAATTTTTTAATATTTAATTTTTTAATAATTAAAATTTATAATTTTATTCATATATTTTCAAATATAATTATTTTAATATCACAACTAGATCAAAGATTTTACATCTTAATCTAAGTGGGCTCATGTCACATTTTTTTTTTACTTTTTTTAATTATATTTTTTCTTGATTTTTATTTAGCAACATTTTATTTGCTAAATATTAATTTTTTTTTATTTTATACAGAGTTATCATATTTTC